TCTCCCTTCCTCCTTCCCCCTCCCTCCCTCCCTCCCTCTTTCTCTCTCCAGCCCCAGAGTGACGAGGCAGTCCGTGTGTGTTTAAGGGAGAGGGGCCACGATGTGCTGGTTCTCCAGAGAATGTCGTCAGAGCAGCCAGCCCCCTCTGCATTGGCGAGGGGAGGAGGGAGAGAGGAGGCAAGGAACAGGAGGTAAGCCTCTCCACTCCCCTCCTTCCTATATTCCCTCCCTCCCTCTCTTTCACTATCTGTTTCTCTCCCTCAGCACTCTCCCTCTCATCATTCTCCCTCTCCGTCTCTCCGGATCACATACTCACTCAGGCATTCTTACATCACAACTCCCTACACATAAATGACTACATTAAATACATATAAGTGAGCAGCATGGGACTGTGAGAGGCAGAGCTCTGCCAGCTGCCTTCCCTTACAAGTCCTTCAGGAGCTTTTTCAGCCAAGAACATACCGGGATACCTCAGCGTACTTGAGGGTTAGACATCAGTGGACTCCGGGTTGTAGCAGCTGCAGGTGGATGGATGGACGGGTAAAGGGGGCATGCAGCAGTAACCACGGCAACGTTGCCGGTGTGAGGGCACAGGGACACTGCGAGGATGGGATCTCGACCACAGCCGCCAAACCTGCGGCAAGAAGAGGGCAGGCTGCTGCATGCTGCCTTGGTGGAGCAAGAGGAGGACGAGGACGATGAGGAGGGCTCCGAGGAGAGCAGCAGTGACAGCACCAGCCGGGCAGAGCCGGTGACGGTGCCCACCTTTGACGTCCCCTACTTTCGCTATATAGATGATGAGGGGACAGAGGGAGAGGAGGAATGGAGCAGCTCACTGTCCTCTATCGAGGAGGACTCTTCCACTGACTCTGTTGTGTCTGACAGGTACACAGTGGTATCGGGAACCCCGGAGAAGATCCTGGAGCACTTGCTGAATGACCTGGCTCTGGACGACGACCAGGGGACAACACAGGTCAAAGAGTCAGGTGAGCATGCATACTTTAATGTCTTGAAACACCTATCTAATACCTCCTTCCTTTGTCAGTGTGTGAATATAAGTATTATGTATTTTAGATAGCAAAAATGAACAAATAGCACAATATTTAGTTGGTGGATGGTACCTAGACAACTTTCGGATCTCAGCACTGTTATGGTGGTGTGCTTATGTAAGTCTCCTGTTATTTTTGTGTGTTTTTGAAAGATAGAAAGATAGAAAGAACTACCTTTACTTTCCGTTTCACTCCCCCCCCTTTACCAACCCTCTCTCGTGCAGTGAAGCTGGGACAGCAGCCCCCTCTGGGCATTATTACTGGGCTAATCATGTGCTATCATTCCCAGAAAGGCTCAGAGTTTGAGTGTGTTCATTTAAAAGCCTTTGACAGAGATAAACGTTGCTCATATGTTTTGAGCGGTGCCGTAACGGACTGCGTGACATGCAGTCCAGCCTCACAGCGACGACAAATCAACACATTTCCTCTCATCCCAGCAGGTACATGATAATGTGACACTGTTGCCAAGGCAGAGGAGACTCTGTTGATTGAGCTGGAGAGATGGTTCGATGAGAGATGATTATTTAGAGTAGTGGCACAGTTAGGAAAGCAGAGGAGGGATACTAGAGAGAAAGGAGAGACACTCTACATGGGGAGAAAAGGGGAAAGAAGGGGGGAAGAAAAGGAGATGCTGATTTTTTTTCTTGGAGATGTGGTGGAGGTGGACACAGATGATCTCTCATTGGGATACAGGCAGGATAACCCCATACCAGAGATCATTACTCATTCAGATGAGGAAGTAAATTAAATTGATCTAAATGCCCTCTCAGGAGATGTCCCTGCGCAGGCAATACGATGCATTTTACATGCACATGAGATGTTTTATGTTGAAGCGCATATTTTATTGCTATAATTAAGTGTTTAATATTAATGAAATGTAATAATGTAAAGAAGCTAAATTAGCAGGCAAGTGCCAGACATCCCTCCGTTCCTTCAGTAACCTTTTAGGTAATATCCTACTGGCTCAGTAGGCAGTGTGTTGTTGATGATTCACTACCATTAGCTCACCTTGCAATGGGTGTATTGAAGTTAAGCCTCTTTAGGGATCTGTGGACCAGAGCATGATGCTGAGTGATATCCCAGGGTCATAGGAGGAGACCTGAGGAGGAGAAAGAATGAACTGCGAGTCCCGAACAGCAATTGATCTGCACTCAGCGATGTTTAATAGTGTGACTCCTGCTGGCCTTGGTTCTCTCTGTGTCAGTACTGAAGCTCTTTATGCCTTAGTGCTACTGCTAAATGTGCCCTTCGAGGATCAGCTCACCAGAAGCATGATACCATGAGATCCTTGATTTCATCAAAAAGAGATTTATTTGAACATCCACCAGACAGCCGTGTTTGGTCTTTCTCTCAAGGATGGCTCAGAGAGCTTGTGCAGCAACATGACTGATGATTGCAGCAGATTATTGATGTTGGGTTTATGACTTACATTCGGTCCGGTACATTAGAAAGACAATTTTACCTCACTGTTGTAGCATTTGATTTTATACATGCTAAGTACACAACAATTTAAAATGCAGAGCAGCTTTCTGCAAGAGGTAGCCCTTTTTCCGAAAGCACCACAGGCATGTTTGAGGAAAAGCAAGTGTGAACCACGGCAGTACTCTGTAGATCTCTGATATGCTAGTGTTTCTGTCTGTGGGCTAGCATTGTGAGTAGCATTCACAAATGTTCGGTGTTTCCTTCTTTCCTGTGCCCAATCTCTGAGTGGAGCTATTGATTCCAGCTCTACACAGATTCACACTTTACACTGCCAGCTCTGAAAAACATGTAATGGAACATTTGCGTTCTTAATGAGAGGATGTTCCAGCTCTTTAACTGACGCACCATGTTGTGGGTAGATAGGTAGTTGATGGTTATTTGTAATGAAAAAAACACCACATTAAGTGAGCGGAAAATAAATTAAAAATGTGTCAATACAACCTGTTAGGGCTTTTACACCAATATGATGGCTTCTGGTGGTAACTGAGCCAGTAAGTGACACATTAACATCCTTATTTCAAAGGCTGAATTGATCAATTTTACGAGTACTTATTGGAATGCAAAAGATATTGGCAGGTTGATTGACAGGTTGATTGATTTCACAGTAGATTGACAACCTAGATCAATGAATTTGCATTCTGCATTTCCTTTGGAAAGGAAACTAAATTTGGTTTGGTCTGAGTACCTGATAGAGTACTAAGCAGCAGTGTTGAATAAATGTTTCTACATCCTACATTCACTTCTCTGATCAAGGCCAACTAATGATGATAACTGAGAATCTTAAATTAAAATGATGTGATGTGTAGGAGTCACAAATCAGCCCAGTAAACTGTTAAACTTTATCAGCACAATTCATGCATAAACGTCTTTGGGTCAGTGAAATAAAACTAGCTAAACTGTTTGGATTAAATCTACTCTGCAGGACATTCTCTACTTCTTTTTTTTTGCTGTGTTACCCAGAAAATAAGACTTTAGGTCGTAAGATTAAATATTTATTCTGTTTTTCAACTTCCAAAAACTTGCAGAGTGTACAGCCTGGGGAGTAGTATGTATGCTGTTTTTCATGAGAAAGTGTTTTCAGTTAAGATAGCTTGGAGAAAATACACAAATGCACAGCAGTGTGAGCGAGCAGTGCATGATCAATGTGTGTGTGTGGAGGAGAGGAGGTACAATACATTATGTGGGTGGGTAGGTGATCTTTAGTTTTTTTCTGGCTTTGTGTTAAGGTACATTACTGTATCCTTTATGGCGAATACATGTGTATGAGTCTGTAACCTCTCATAAGCAGTGAGTGATGCATCCACAGCTGCTCTGCACGGATTAACATAATGATGTCAGGGAGTCCTGTGGACCAGAACGCACACAAAGGCCCTGGGAAGCCAGTGTGAAATTAAAGGGGAGAATTTACAATTCTGGGTGTGAGGCACACTTACAGAGGGGTTGAGTGGAGGTTTGCCCTAATAGGATTTGTAAAGGTTTTCGTTTGTGGCTGGGCATCATGTCTGGGAGTTAGTGTCCTTCTCTTTCTTTTTATGCCTCAGAATGTTATTTGTAGAATGTCAGTTTGTGAAAATGCACTTTTACAGCTTGTTACAATGTCTTACTAATAATTACTTATATATTTTAAAAAGAGAATCTGAGGGGAAAGTAATGTAGATTTTGGTTTTTAAAATAAAGGGAGTCACATTTAGTCTTTGTTTATTGTGGTGAAAAAAAAGGTGTTGTGATAGACTGTAAGTGCATTTCATGTTACTTACACTATTTGATCAGCTTTGATTTAATCCATTTACAGAAACACTTACCCATGTGTAACCTTGGGAAGAAATCGTACATGGATACGGTGGCAGAAAATGCTGCTTGTAAACACATTAGGATGATGGCTAAGCAGTATCAGATTGCTTTTCTGTGTGCACGATAATCGCAATGAAAACACAGACTTCATCAGAGGTCAGAGAGAATCAACTGACACTTTAAACATTACTGATACAGCCTGCAGTGGTGAGTGCGTGAGATTGAAGATAAAGCCAGTAAAGTCTTGTTTGAACATGTTGGAGCAAAATGCAGCTGGAGAATCCTCAGTGGGTTCAGCACAAATGATTAAATGTGACCATGAAGAATAATGTGCCACTAAAATGTCTCTCACATTATATTTGCTTCTGAAGTGTCTCTGCTTAGTGCTTGTTAATTGATGTTTGACAGAAGGCGATGCGCTCTCCATCTGGTATTATTAAGACGGAATAGTCTCTGAGCTGCCATCTCAAATAAAAGTACAGGCTTGCTGTACAGTAGGTGCAGCTCAGCAAACAATCATAAAGTTGGTACAGTTGTGTACCTGCCATCCAGCATCCTGTAACAGTATAAACCGAATGAGGATTTTTATGATAGTCTGCACAGAATTTAAACTTGTTTTACGTTTCTGTCTTCGGTGAAATATCTTGAATAATTTATAAATCCATGCAACTAGTAGCAGTTAAACTAGTTTAAAAGTTATACTATTAGAAAAATGTCAATAATTTCTTTCTCTTTGCAGATACACTTCTGGATGACTTTCTGCTGACATACCCAGTGTTTATGTCCACCAGTGATTTATGTCAAGCTCTGCTGGGACAATATCCTTGAACATAAGGGTTTTCACTGGGATATTATTACAAAGATTCACACATAATAACCCTCCTTTATGAATGCTAGAGACAGACATAGTTGTCTCATACAAAAGGACGACTGGTTTATTGACTCTAAGCTACTCCACGTCCGTCTCTCTCACAGCCTATCCCTAAATCAACATCTCACACACACACACACACACACACTCGCTTGATTCATGTTACTCTGCATTTGATGTCAGCAAATAGAGCTCGCTCTCCATCTGTGCTGAAGCCTTAACCAAATCCCACCTATTGCACCAAAAGATACAGAGGGAAAGAGGACAGGAAGGAGACTCTGGAGAGGAAACGAAAAGTCCTGCACCTGGTCTCACAGTGGATGGCTCTCTGCAAAGATTTCCTGAGGGAAGACGAGCATGTCAAACTGTTCATGAAGGTAGGGAATATAATGTTCTGTGAAAAGGGTGGAAACTGGGATGTGAGCTGAACTTAATATAGGAGAAATGAAAATGGACATTTCCTTTCAGACTTTGTACCATTACGTGTTGGATGATCTTTATGAGCACCCAGCCCTGGAGAAGGATGTGCGGGAACTGCAGAAACTGTACCAGCTGCATCGCAGACAGTGAGTGACCAAATGATGACTTACTTTGCTATTTCATGTTTTCAGACACAGGGTAGTTCGATAGATACATAAGTTATGGAATAAATGGAAAAACCGGTGTATTTATTGATATCAAGTCTGGGTGTTTACAACAGCAACTATGGCTATGACTGTTGGAGGTCTGAAAAGAAGCAGACACACTAGCTGGTCTCTGAGTACAAAGAAAGAGCCCCTTCTCTGCTTGCTTCACGTCAATGAATCCATTCAGTGATTGAAGAGTAATTGCAGTGTTCTGGGGTGTTATGCACGGAAATTTAAAGGTCATGCAGCTCTTTATCTGGAATCTCCAAAATTGAGGAAATACAGGAATTTTCGGAATTAATGACAAGCTGTCAGAAATCTTTTGAATTTGAAAGAATGCTCCACCACTCGTTTACTGGATACAGTATTATCACACATTCATATATAAACGCTGTGATACAAATGATTAGGTCTTCTGACTTGAGTAATAAAATATTTATGTAAGTTAGTCCATATAGAAATAGAAAATATATACAGTATGCACTGATCTAAAGCATTGGCTGCATTTTTAAGCGGATCAGCCATAACAAAACAAATCCACATTAATGTTAACATCCACAGTTACATTTATTTAGTCATGATGAGCTGCCAACTCACACATATATATAGATATATTATTTACATTAAAGGACTAGTGTGTAGAATTAAGTGGCATCTAGGGGGGAAGTTAAAGATTGCAACCAACTGTACACCCTCACCTTCCAAACATGTAGGAGAAACTACGGTGGCTGCAAATTGAGCGAGTGTTTGGTTCGTCTTTTCTGGGCTACTGTAGAAAACATGGCAGTTTAACATAGCGGACTCTGTAGAAGAGGACCCGCTCCCTATGTAGATCTTCCTAAATGTCACACAATGGACTTACTTTATGTGTGCATAATTAATTTGCATTCAATATATAAATAATATTTGAAATTCAGAATCTTAAATATTGGGTTTGTTTTGTTGTTGTTGTTAAAGTGGAACTGTTGCTTAGCTACAACTTCTTGGTTCAATAAAAATAAGCATCACATTGCTCTTTGACATTACAGAGTAAACAGACCCCGAGTCACATTGCCACACCCATGTCCCCCTTCCCCTCCCTCAACCACAGCCTCCAGTCAGAAACTCTCCCTGGGGATGCTCCAACCTGCCGCCCATTAGAAAACCCGTGCAGATAATTCAACCTGACTCTGCTGCCATTATCTGGTCCTGCTTTATTCATGTTTATATCCTGGGAGGGAGATCCACAATACCCACTCCTTTAAAGCAGTAGACTTTGTGTGGGTGTTACTAACTGACATACTTTACTATTTATGAGGTTTTCCCAATCAGGCTCACCACGGCGGGGGAGGACAAGGTTGACTGCTTTGTGGCAATCTGCTACAGAGTGAACAGCTAAAAGGTGTCATTTTTTGTAGAAAGAAGCCTCATTTAGTCCTTTGCTCCCATCAACTTCCATCTGGCCTTTGTGCAAAAGAAAGCTCAAGTCATATGTTTCTGAAAGCTGAGGAATCAAACACCACTTCTTCTCTTGCACTCTCTCATTGTGTGGCGTTATAATTCACTGAGCCCATTGACATCCACAGCAACTCTGTTTTTTTGAGGAGTAAGAGAATGAATTAGACCACGAACTCTGTTTTGACATGACAGTGGGAATCAGGTTTTTCATTAGTGTGGGCCTGCTGCTGACCAGTGAGAGGAGATCCCTCAGGGCAGGCTTTGTGCCAACATGCCTATTGTGATGCAGAGCCCAGTAAAAGCTGAGGGATGATAATGGACACGGGGCTATCCATCATGTTAGGTGGGCCTAACTGATGAGAATAGGGTGATTAAACGTAGGGATCACATTGGAAGATCTAAAAAATCTACAAAGCACTCTAATCTTGCCTTGACACTGATCTTAAATAATGGACTAAACGCAGCAGAGCAGTATATATGTACATTCACTCTACCTTGATTATAAACTGTGTGGATGGTGACGTTTTTGTACTTGACATAGTTGCAGCCTAAGGAAAATCACTAGATCAGGTTTTGTGCATGTGTAGGCACATGGTGGTACACTTTACTTATTTATTTCTTCTTCCTTTTCCAGTACGGTGGACGACTATTCCCCTCAAAGAAAGGTTAGTGAATTAATCTTGTATTTGCTCTCTTTACGGCACTTAGAAATGACGACAGAAATAATTTTATAAAACGGTGCCGGCTGCTCACGTCAACAGACTAGTTTTGGTGTCGGAGCTATTGTCCCCACATTTCCTGCTAAAGACATTGTTCTGCAGTTCTACCAAAATGCCCAGTGTTCTCAGGCAATATGAATGTGTGTCAAAATCCACGCATTTCCCTCCTTCTAGAGCAAAGTACTTTTCCACCAATTGAGCCTGAAAGAGAACGGGCTCCAGTCCAGAGGAACACAGAGGGAGACTAAGGAAGGTAAGTCATAAAACGTGGCGTTTTTCACACATTTGTTGAAAGGAGACATGTAGTCTGAACAGTGGAACAATGGGAATCTTTCCAGGGAATGAATGAGGTTTGGAAATGCACATTCCTGAGTTATGACTTTTTTCTTTTGTATTATTGGGATCCGTTTAGGCTTCTTTTAAAGGTCAGGGTCACGTTACCCCTCATGCTGTCTAGCCATATGACATCTCTATTGAGAGGTTTCTGCTTCTGGATAATCCACAGTAGTTTTCTTTTGAATTACTTTCAATCAACAAAATTGTCCCCACTGACCCTTTACCTTCATCAGGAGGAATCTATTGATTATGCTTGGTCTATCCCAGTAATGCCACACTACACAGTCCTCTACAGTTTATCACTGAGTTGTTACACTGGAGCCAGTTGAGGGTCAGTTGCTTGGCTCAAGGTCACCTTATCAATGCGGTATCAATGCAGCCCTCCTGCTGTTTAAGAGACGGAAGCAGGTGACTCAATTAACTGCTTGAACTGGTTGAATGTGTGCTAAATGGTCTGATAACTGGAAAGAAACCTGTTTAGACTGCCCTCCATTGCACACAGTGGCTGATGAACCCTCCTCTAGAATACACCCAGCCTAAAACATGTTATACCAGCTCTCACAGCAACAAAGACCCCCAGGTGCCCCACAATCCCCAAGGGAGTTTTATCACTTTGATTATTTAAAAATCTCAGAGGAAAATTGCACCAATAAGATGGAGCTATGGTGGTTCCCAACATTATTAATTTGTCTTGTGTCGTAATCTAGTTTCAACAGCTTTATTATTTAGAAAACCTGATGCCATATTATTCCATCTCTCTGGTGCACTTCATATACAGTAAGTACTGTGCATTGTATTTGTACCTTACTGAAAAATGTTTTTTCTCTCTGGTACAGTGCTGTGTCATGTGTATATTACCATGGACTCGTACCTAAGTATGAGGGCCCATGTCGGGGTAGTGGCCCAGGAGCTGCTGCAGGCAGCAGCAGAAAGGATGGACATCCCACAGGGGGAACTGGTCCTAGTGGCTGTCACTTACCCTGGAGGTAAATACCGTTCTAACTAACCATCTGCAGTACATATCAACCACCCCTTCAGTTATTGCAGTGTTGCAGTCTGAACAGAAAGTGAGAATTTGTATTTGTAGTCTCTCGATGATGTAAAAGAACAAACAAGTGTGAATTTCCTGGTGTTTGTAGAACATTGTCATCATCAATATTTATACTTGAAAGTAAATACTTCCCATGAAAAAACATCATATAGCATTTTACTTTATCACAATATTTCCTACTTGAAGTTTTTTCCTATATTGAGTTGTATATTAAGCTCAGATATGACTCTGTGAGATTGTGATCAACATAAGTGACCTAAAAATCTCCCTGGTGACAATAGTTAAAAGGGAGAAGCATTTACAGTCCAGTAATATTAAGTCTGTATCTGTTATCAGTTACTGAAGTGACTGGCTACCTCAGAGTGGAGCCTGGCACAGCAAGTCTTATCTCTTGCTGCTGATAGCTGCTTTACACGCTGCCTGACAGATTTTAATGGCATTCTGCTGTTTCTGATATGTTTTCTCACCCTGCAGGTAGGCTCCTCCTGCAGCCTCAGGACAGAGTCTTCTCCGATTCTTTACGCCCAGTGGGGAGGCTGCATGTCTGCAGAAAGGACCTGGGAGGAGTCCTGGTAAGAATAGCACTGCAATGTGTCACTTGAGCAGAAACATACTGCACATATTCTGTAGTGTCAAGTAGTGTAGTTCATACATATACATTCACTTATCAGCCCAGAAGCAATGCAGAGGACAATCTATACTTCAACATAGCTGAGGTCATGTTGGAATCTTTAACAATTTATCAAAATTGGCTAACATGAAATAATTTTTAAGCAAAACTCTCACTGGCAACAGAAGTCACATGCTGGCAGGTCACAGGACCATGCAGTTTTTGTGAAATAACTTTGTTTTCCCTTTTCAGAACCCATTCACAGACAACTCTGAGCTGCAACAGAGGACGGCTCGCATGCTCAGTTTGAACACATGGGACGTGGCTGTTGCTCTCACCAGCTTTGACTGGACCATCTTTGACTCAATACATGAGGTTTGTCCCACAATTGAATTACTTACGCATCATTTGTTGTCTCTACAGTGTGGGGCTAAAAGGGTCTAAACAGTTTAAAAAGACATCTGACATCATGTGCCCAGTTCTGCTCAACCTATGAGTATATGCTGTTGTTTTTTACAGCAAGAGCTCGTCTATTTCACCTTCAGCCGCCACAGTAGCAGTGGCCACACTGTGGCGTTAGAGCTGCTGCTGCAGCGCTGCAATGAAGTTCAGCTGTGGGTGATGACTGAAGTCCTACTGTGCCCAACGCTCTGCAAAAGGGTCCAACTCATCAAGAAGTTCATCAAGATTGCTGCCCAGTTAGTAGTTTTACTCACTCATAATTTATTTATTGTGATCATAAACACACTGTTGGCCAACGCTACAGAAACTCAGCCCCGAATCTTTAGGGTGAGGTGTTTAGATTTGCATGGGGATGCTGCCCCCTCCAGTGGCAAATCAATAAACTACATCTACTTTGGTGCTGTTGAGCTGCGCCCCTGGAAGTAACTGAATTGTGTGCTGCATTGATCTTTTATAGCTGTAAAGCTCAGAGGAACCTCAACTGTTTCTTTGCAATTATAATGGGACTGAACACTGCAGCCGTTGGCCGCCTCAGTCAAACATGGGAGGTAATATGTCTTTTTTTTGTCTTACAGACATCTTTGCCACCTTTATAGCTGAAGTACATGGTGTCTGAATAAAATAAATCCTGTTATTATCTCTGCAGAAAATTCGTGGGAAATTCAAAAAGCTGTTTTCAGAGCTGGAGACAGTTACAGTAAGTATAATTCATGTCCCTCAGTGTATGTATTATACTATGTATACCTGTTTTGAAATGAAAAAAACAATCACTTTAACAGGGAATTCAAGCCCTCTGTGTGAATGAGGTGAAACAAACAGATGTTTTTAATTTCCAAACATCAGGCGAAACATAAGGTGTTTTAGATCATTAGTCTCTAATGCTGCCATAATTCAGCTCTAACAAAGCATGCATGCACAGGCACACACAGTCTCCCCCAGAGGATTACACTCATTCGTTTTGAAAATGTCTTCACAGGATCCGTCACTGAACCACAAGGCCTACAGGGACTCCTTCAAGAAGATGAAGGCGCCAAAGATCCCCTTTCTTCCTCTGCTACTGAAAGGTGCGCTCATTATTCTGTCACTTCAGTACCACACAACTAGTCTAACTCCAGGAGGAGAGCACTGTAAAATATTCCAGGCAGATTTCATATGCAGAAACAAACAGTCACCAAATACCTGTTGTTGGTGAACACTAATCAAATGTTTATCTGTTTTAGATATTACGTTCATTCATGAGGGCAACAAGACGTTTCATGACAACCTGGTCAATTTTGAAAAGCTGGTGAGTTCATGATCCCTTTCCAGAAAATGTACAGTGGTGCTGAATATGAAATGTCATGTTTAATGAAGTCCATTTTCTATTTCCAGCACATGATAGCAGACACAGTGCGGCTCATCCGGCAGTGTCAGAAAGATCACATGGGTCAGTATTCACATCACTCACTGCTCATTTTACGGTGTGAGATCAACAACATTTTGGATTTCTATGACCTACTTATAAACAGTGATGTAACGGCATTTCAAATGTGAATAAAGTTAGAGTATTTGCAAGGTACATAACCCCAATCTGTGGAATCAGTGTAAATCAGGTTAATACTACTACTAAAGAAATGCCTCATTGTAGAACACAAACATACTTTTTGCAATATGTCTATGTGATAGGTACTCAGAAGGCTGCTTCCTTTAACAAATAACTCCACCATGTTAAAGAATATTTCTGTTAAATATCCTTTAACATGTTGGTGTGTATCTTTGTGCATGAATATAGATAGAAGAGTTGTCCTGGATGCTGGTGTCTCAGCTTGGAAGTAAAGCATTTTCTTTTAATCCAGGAAATGGAATCACTCAGAAGAGCAGCTCGGAAGTGCGAGCCTACATCGATTACCTTCATATCATCGACAATCAGCAGACTCTGTTTGATCTGTCGCACAGACTGGAGCCCCGTGCTTAGAGAACGGCTCTTACTGCACTTCCCACTGTGTCAGCCAGGCCGTCGGATTGCCAAGGAACAATCTATATCCGAAGTCATCTATCTCTCAGGACTCAGTTGGCAATCAGGGGAACGCTGCACGACCCTGGCCGACCACAGGAGGGAGCCACTCAATCAGAAAAACTCTCACCAGACACAGGAATAAGCAGCAGAGGACACATCTTATGTTAAATGCATAAATATTTGCATAGATTCGCAACCATCACTGATTCAGAACACCTTAAAGCAGGGCCAGCCGACATATTCCAACAGCTAGTGCCAGCAGTCAACTTGTGCTGCCTGTTGGCAAGAAAAACAAACACCAGCAGCAGATTAGAGCTGAAGATGATGATCAGCATGACTCGATCTGCAAGCCCAAACCTGCTGCTGCTGCTATTGCTTCACTTCCCTACAGATGGCAGAGTTTGGCAGGTGTAGAGCTGCTCTCAAAGTTGCCCGACAGCTCCCCCCTGTGGAGAATCAGCAGAATGAGTTTGTTTGCAGGTGAAGCGCCTCCCATCGAAGAAAAAGCTACAGAACACAAGTGTGCAGAAAACAGTGTTCACTGTCAACCTTGAGAACAGTGTGTTTGACAATAAAAGGGTCCACTCACTAGCCTTTTCCAGAGCTTTTAACCACATGAATCATGTCACATAAAGTGATTTAGATCATGAGACACAGATTAACTCATGGTAATCTTTTTGTATTTCCACAGTGTTTATAGCTCTGGCAGCAGAGGGGTTTTCCCATCAGATTTAACCAAAGAGTATTTCAGTCCAATACTGCGCACACAACTGTTTCCTCAGAGTCCGCCACGATCCAGATGTTCTCTTTGCCAGATGTAGTACATACAGTCACTCATAAATCAGTACAGTGTATGCACAGCAAGCTGATGTCTTGCTAAACTGAATCAAGATGACAGAAATAGTGAAAATGATTGTTAAATATTAGACATTTTCATTTATTATTTGTATTATCTATTTTTTACATGCTGATTTCTGTACTGTAACATTTTCTATTGTTTCACCATTAAGTGCAGTGTATTAGATGAGACTTCAGATGGTATTAGAGCAGAACAATAGAAAAAAATACACAGGATACTGTATTTCTTTGGTGTGTGCGAGTTATAATAATGTATGTTAGTGCCAAATACCATAAAAATGCCCACTGAAACTAATGCTAATTGCTCATCTCTTTTTAAAAGTACTGGACTAAAGATGTCCATATAGATGAGCTGCGGACAATCAGTTAAATTAAGCATCAGACTCATACTGATACATCTATGTATTGGTCTTTAAAGTTCAGGTTGAAACACAATACAGTGCGTTATTCCTTGTGCTGGAGGATCAGCCATCCAGATAGTTTAGCTTTGATTTAATAAAGGTTGGACATATTGGCTTCAGCTTCATGGTACTCAGAGTACCAGAAAATGAGCATTTCAAAAACAATTACATGGTGACTCACAACAACACAACAACGAACTTTAGCTGATCTCCTTTATCCTTAGTAAACATATGGATAGATATTGTAGAGAAAAAAATAAGTTTTTATCGTGTTTTTGGGTGAACTGTCCCTGTAAGAAAAGAGCAATAGCAAAATCAAGTACTACAGCACCTTCTGGAAAAAGAGGAAGAAAAATAGAAGCCATTTGCTTATGTACAGGGTGTAGTAACACTACTGTATACAACTGTTTAGTGTGTAGTCATAGAAGATAGAATATTTATTCTCTAAATTGGTCTACTGAAAATTCTCACCTTTACCTGAAGGTTAGGTCATTTTAAGTAGTGTTGTAGATAAAATTTTGCATTATATTTTGAAATTTTATTTATATATTTTGGATTTTAAAGGCCACAGAGAACATGGAGAGAACATGCTTTATCTTATTTTGAATTTCATTTGTATCAACAATGTATAGTGGATTTTGTTTATACTGTATATATATATATGTTAAAATTCTGGATAAGATATTTATTTATTTCAGAATTATTTATTTGTTCTATAGATCAGTTCAATTTCATGTTTGTTTTTGTACACAGATTTGGCTGGTCTGCATGATATGGCAAACCATGGATTGACCACCAGTGTCAACTGTGCATGAAATAAAATATTTTTCATCATCAGGGCTGGTTATTGTAAAGGATATGCTCATGTATAAGATCACGACATTCAAACAGGCAAATGGTACTTTCTATCTTTTACAGCAGCGATGCTGATGGGTAATCCAGGTTATAGCAAAGATAAAAGTTACAGCAGTACAGACTAAAGGAGACTGATACTACTGACTCCTGTCTGTTGCTAATGCATTTAGAATAGTGTCAAGTGGTACAATAAAAACACCCAAAGGAATGCAAAAGGCACATTATCAAACACACACAATTAACTATCTCAGGTTATATTTAGCACACATACTTTATACTTATAATTTCACATGAACTTGAGTTAGTGTACTGAATTGTCACTAGCTTCTCGAGTTGTGGTTTTTAACATATTAAAGGATCAAACGGGCAGTGAGGTCATAATAAACGTGTATTTAGGAAAACACAAGCAGTGATTCAATAATACAAAGAAGAAGGAGGAGCTGTTGAGTGCAGAAACGTGAGGCAATTTCGTAATAATTTGTTTAAAATGTGCAAAAAGGCACGGACTGGTGGGAAGTCTGCACTGCGATGCGTTTCAAAATTTGCACCAAGCATAATCAATTTACTAACTCCAATCCTCTTTGTGAAAAAGTATATTTAAAGTCACCTATCAGCAGTAAACGGGTTCATCTGCCCTCCAACATCGGCCTCCAGTGAAGCTTCACTGCCTCTCTGTGGCTACAAAAGGGTACTGCAGTTCAGTCCTTAAAAAAGATGTTAGCAGAAATTTAAAAACACCGTATTTCATTTCATAAATGACCAGAATAACCTACAAGGCTTACCAATTGGACAAAGTAGGCAAATGCACTGGGCCCCCAGACCCTCAAGGCTCCGGGTCAATGTATAGTAATTAGTTTGCAGTATTAAGTTAATTATAAAAATGTGCTAATATTATATACACAGCTGGAGTGTTAATGGCTGTTTTGGTACATATTGAGCTTACATTTTACTAAATTATTCTGCAGTTAATCAAGTTACCACACACAAAGTACTAATACATTACAGTACAATGTATGGAGAGTGGGAAAAAATGGCATGGCTGATCAATGGAGACCCACAGCTCATGTTTGCCCGGGGGGGCCACTAGCAGGTTAATCAGGCCCTTAAAATCTAAAACTGTTTCATGTAGGAACACACTGTAATAACATTTTACACTGATTTTGGTAACATAATTCTTCTTCTTTAATATGTACATGTCTTGAGTTCAGAAAACCTCTTTTAAAATAAAATGTATTATTATTATTATAATTCATTCATTTATAGCATTGCAGGCAACTAGTGTAGGTCTTAAATGCTCAAAATGTCAGGTTTTTTTTGGATAACAAAACCATCAGTACACAATGTCTTTCTCGGGTACTGCAAGGCGGAGGTGTGACCCAGATGCCCTTGCTGACTTTAACCAGGTGTCCTGCTTGGCCTTTTAACATGACTATCTGTGGCACGACCCCTGCTGCGCCGGGCCCCGTACCCTGCCATTTCCTCCCAAACACTGCCAGCAGCACTGTATCATTTCCCTGTCACCAAATGACTGGCTAGCTGCTGTGGCGTGCTAATGAGAGGAAGAGAGGGCAGATGAAGAGAAACTACAGGAAGACTGGTTCTTCATTTCCCCCGTGCAATACAATGCATAGAATCAATCCTCCATCCTCCACTTGTCTGTCTGCAGCCACTTTGGCTGCAGGGAGAAATTAAGAGCAACACAGCGGTTATTAGCGTTGGAGAAAATCTCATTTGAGAAGATAAGAGTGCTGATTTCTATTCCCCCCACACCCCCCCAAAAAATTTGTGATTCAGTGGCTATAATTTGTACATCATAATGTTTATCTATGTTTATCTTAGCAGATAATATTGCACCTGTCCCGTTTCGTCATGAGCTAGTTCATATCATATAGCTCCCGCTGACAGTCAAATCAGCTTGTTTTAAATAATAATAAATGCATCTGATTATTTGTTCAGGACTTATATCCCCTTTTTGTGGATGCACAAAATTCCCTCTAAGCACCTTTTTTCTGTGTTGATTAATAAAATAGTATAACTGCGCTGTATGATCTCAACCTTGACTATGGAGCTCCTACAATATTTTAATGTATCTGTATAGCACTACTCTTTCAGTATATTTACATAATCACACTTTAATCTGAAAATCTTCTCTGTTTTCAATTAACCTCAATTAAATCTTTAAAAAAAGATAACATTTAAGATAAGATGACTGCGTTTCTTTAGACTCATTCAAAGTTAAAGGTTTTTATTTGGTCCGTATTAAGTTAATCAGATGCTAACAGAGAGTGCAGACAGATAAAGGATGGGTAATCTAATGTGTTGCTTTCTCATAGAAAGCTATCAGCGTCTTTGAATAGGTTTCTCCAACAGGCCCCGGCTGAATGAATTACACTAGTCTGTTAGTATTCTGCCTCTGCCGTACAAAAGGTCAATGTCAAATGCACCTCATTTAAAAGTCAATAGCAACCATGCACATCATCTCCTGGGAATTCTGTCCGGGAACCCTCCAGACGGCATTGTGTATCATTCAGTTAGTAGAGGGCAGCCAGAGAGCTTTTTTAATCTTGACCTTCCAATAAAATATGCTCCCTATCCAGAATTACATGGTCTAAAATGGAGACATAAGCTCCCAACAAATCATGCCCAGACTGAACCATCTCAAGGGAGATGTTCAACTGTGTCGGACACAGACACAACAGGTTCAGCACTGGCTAACCATGTATCGCCACTTCTTTATTCCCATTATCTTTAAATCTAACACACATTCATACACTACAATGTCAGTATTGTCACATATGAACTGAACTGGATACAATAATAATATGCAAGATTAAAAGATATAATTGTGTTATAATTGTGTATGTTGTGTTAGTAATTATAAAAAAGTACATGATAAAAAGCTAAATTATGGCAATAAATGAATAAATACTGTCTCAATAGGGGAAAAATACTCAAAAAATATCGTTTTTTAACACTATTTGTAGAATACTGTCTGTAGATACTATAAAATGTGTCTCACACAGACAGCAGCAGTGCCACTCCAGCTACAATCCACTTGGCAGGTGGCTGTTTTGTTCGGAGGTGGAGGGTCCACACATATGTGGGCCCACGCTGCTTGGTGCGGTACACTGGACACTCGTAAGTACTCTTGAGCTCCTGCTCCTCGGCAGGCACGGCTCTAACGTACAGCACCGGCATCGCTGGAGTCAGATCCCTCAAAACCGCCTCGGAGATGACTCCAGACTGAGTGTCCCAGCGTGCTCCTAAGAGGACACAAGACATGCTGTACTGTGGGTTTGACTGGGGAGACTTAAAGAGATATTTACCAAGACATAATTTAAGTACGGCAGGGTGTGCTGGAGGAACGTTATGTTGATTCTGACCTTCCATGAAGAAGCCGTGAATATAGGCCCCCTCCCGTGGTGGGTGTCCGAAGTCGTCTTTCGTCTTCTTTGTTACGTCCACAGTCAGAGTCATCTTGTCCAGGGGCCACTGATTCTTTCGAGCAATACTCTGCAGCACAGCTGGAGAAATAAAATGTGTGTTTTAATATTTCTGGTGCTTCGGGTGCACATGTCATCAGAATCATCTGTCTCGTTGAGTTTGTGACCTCACCAGTGAGGAAAGACTGTGGGTTGAAGAGCCCCGACAGCCAAACCACTGCAGGAAGAACCAAGTCTTGAGTCCAGCTGTCCAGCTCTCGACAGCTACACATTATATCATTAAACCTGTAACAAAAAAATCATTAATTAAAAACATGGTATATCATTGCCTGGAAACCTGTACAATGTGTCTGCAACGGTCGCCCATATATTGGCTTTATGTTTGAAGACATTTTTTCAAAATGTATTGAAGTGTGTCACAGGGGAACTAATAAAGGGCAGTATAAAAAGTAGATAATAAGGGCCATGTTGAATAAAGAAAATACGGTATTATTAGGAAGGAGCAGTTACCACTGTGCCAGTGTTTTAGTGGTGGGATAAGCCAGTCTGGCCCAGGAATCTGGAACAGAGTCAGTGAACAGGGCTGACTGCAGAGTCTCCATTCTGGAGGAGATTGTGAGTTCCCCCTGTGGACAAACAAATCCTCATTAATGCGACAGGATGTTGATTGTGTTTTTTATTTAGTATACGTCACAGTAGACTGTACCTTCAGGCCAAGATCCAGCTCATTAAGAGACTTCCTTATTTCTGCTAGAAGAAGATTCATGCGCTCACACTCCTGGAAACAGACTAAAATGTAGGGGCTTCGCTTTGTTGTCTTTGACGTTATCTCCGCCATGTTATACTCCTCAGGAAGCTTGTCGAGGATATCTTCAACGACAGACTTGACCTAACAAATAGAATATACGTGGTTAGGTTATTCATGTAGGTAGATGATGGTATTATCAGCTGCTATTTCCCAAATATGGTTCTTTCTGCCTTCTCACCTTCTCCTCCATGCTCTGAGCTGCCCCCTCTCCTCTGGAGGATTCCTGTGGCTGCAGTTCCAGCAGAGTCCTTAAGAGGTTGTCTGAGGTAACAGTGAGGCACTCGAGCTCAGCATTTGGATGTAGACCATACAGAGTGGGGTTCTCGGTTGGGAGATGTTCGTCGATATAACTGTGGTAACCACTGTAGTCCAGGAATGGTGGGGCCAGGAACCCAGGACACAGAAATAGCTCCCCTTCAAACTAAGAAATTGAAATTTGTGAATCCAAAGATGAAAACACACACAGTACAGCACACTATTTAATATACAGCAAAAAGGTGACAATGAACAGTCAAACTAAACCGCCTTCATGAATCTTAACAAAGCCTGTGTGTTTTAGAATTCAATATGATGGTGCTGCACCTACAGCAAAACGCACTGGTTGATGTCAGATTGTTGGCAGAGGCCTAATCCCTCCTCTGGGGGGATGAAACAGATAAAGTCCAGTTGAAGCATCTATCAGCTTAACACAAGCAAAAGAGCAAAGTACCAAATAATCACCTAATAATGCT